CTTATAGTTAGAGTGGCTCAGGTTATCCTGAGCTATCTCTATAGTTATGCTGCTATAGGCTTAGACTGCTGGAGGACATAGGGACCCTTATTCATCATTCTGCTCCATTCTATCTCTATTCTCCCACTCTGTACAATTTGTTAGTTAAATATACTCTCTCTGCTGTTTCTCATAGTAGCTTCATCTGGTCTGCTCCTGTTTGGCTGTGACACCACCCTGAAGAGACATATCAGCTTTGCTGTTGCCATCAACACCTTTGTTTATAGATGATTGAGCTTGGCCTGTTTTTCAGTGTAGTCCTGTTTTTCTGACAGGGACTAACTGGATGTGCTCTTTTCATCCTCTAACATGGGGGCTGGCTTGGAGCTCATCTGCCTGGCTGTGTCTTTCTTGGACAGGAACTCCTGTGGAGATTGGTGACAAGTTCCGTTTGTATCTCTGCTTATTTCTGTATGTCTGCTTCTGTCTCCTTGAACCCTGGTCGGCCTGGGAAGATGGCCGCTCACGCTGAGCCTGGTTCTTCTGGTGGTTTTTTCCTGTTAAAAGGGAGTTTTTCTCTCCAATGTCGCTAAAAGCATGCTTCTGCGAGGGATTGCCTTCAAGTTAATGATTCAATGTAATCAACTGCTTTTCCTTGGAAAACTTTAACTTAAGCAGATTTTTTTCAATCCAAGCTTCAAATCAGCAGATGAGGATCTACGACAAAAATAGGCCCTTCAGGGCGAACGGAGCTCACTTTGGCCTCTTCACTGAAACAGACAAACTGTTAATGATACAGCCCTGATATTTTCTAGCAATAATTTTAACCTTAAAATAAACAATATAAAGCAGATTTGAGCAGATATTTTTGGATCCAAGCTTAAAATCAGCAGTTGAGGATGTATGGCATACAGTATTTAGGCTTTTCTGGGCATCTGCCTCATTAATTGACAAAGGCCAAATTGTGGCCGATATGAGAATTCTATTTTTGCCTGCAAACATTTGAAAGACACTTTGAGCGCTGACTCTGCTTTTCTGCCCCCCTCTGAACACTGAGCTGCTCCGTACCGCCCCTCACCTCAGTGTGCTCTCTCTGCACTGTCCCTCATAGCTGCTGCTAGCGTTAGCATGGAGTTAAATGAAGCTGTTTACTCCATGGTAGGAGTAGATGGTAGAATGTGATTGAAAAACTAGGATTATTTACTGGATTATTTAATTACAGCATTGTTTTTTACCATGCGTTTACATACTGAAAGTAAAAAAAATGCTAAGAATAGCCATTTAAAGTAAGGCCACAATAAAAGTTCACATTATTTATCATTTTCTGTATTTTTGGCTCCAAAAATGGTTTCTACCCTGACTTTCATTACTTTAAAACTGGCTCTAAATCAGGTTTTCATTCAGGCAACATTATACATTGATAACATGCTTAACCAGAGGTGGTCAGTGTGTACTAAACTATCTCTTATGATCAGCAATCTACTTGTAAAAAAAAAAAGAAGGGGGATGGTGGAATTTTTTTTTTTCATTGAAGCATACACAGCGTAATTAATATACGGTAGTCTATTAACCAAAAGCACTATGCATGGTCTGGTTGTTAAATGCCAGGTACGCCGGTCATTGACTTGACCTTACAGTAGAACTGCAGTCAGTCCCTGGACTGGCATGGCTATCACTGCCCCTACA